GAAGATAGTCAAGGGCAGAGTAAATGGATTGTCGCTTTGATTTCTAGAACTAAATCTGTTTGTTAGCTAAACATCAGTTTCTTCCTCCTGCATTGGAACTGAACACTCAAGTAATAAATTTCACCACTCTTCTACGAAACCATTCAAAGGTACAACTCACAGGATGCAGGATGGTGACTAAAGTATGTTAGGTTCCCCTCCCTCAGGTTCACGGTCACAGAGTCGCTTAAAATAGTGGTAAGACAATGAACCAATCACAATTCACTTGAGCACTCCGCTGAATTGCTCCGGGGATCACATAATTTTGGCATAGAATAGTGTGCAGACTATCGCGTTTATCTTTAGACGGTCTACTGTGGGCTTTGTTTCGTGGATGCACATTTGAGATGTGCCGTCTTATTAATATTATTAATGTACCGCCAAACTCTCTACCGAGTGTCGTCATCGTTTGGGTTATCCAAAAGAGCGATTTATAGGTCAGGTTACCACTGTTCAATATCCTATTATGTTTAGTTAAAGCGCGTGGACTTGGGCATGGCATAGTAGATGTTTTACTGCGCTTTTGACACAGAAATAATGACAGTTAAGGCCCCTTCGACGACCTTGTTTTTAAATAATATTTGGCTAGTGTTTGTTTCTGACTTCTCCTGTTTTATGTTTGTAGCTGCTCTTCGCAATAGAACATTTACAAATTTGGGCGGCACTGCACGACCATGCTCTATGGACAAACCGCGCCTGAAATCACCATCATAGTAATTATAATAAACAAAATAATCATCATAATAACAATAATAATAATGACTGTATTACACAAATTCCCGCACAACAGCACGCTCTATGCCGTGAGCTGTGTTGTTATTATTAATACCCCAGCAGACCGCATAACTTTCTGAAAGAATCTCAACGTCTTGGAAAGCATAAGGTACAAGCAATTATTTTAAAGGCGCTGAAGTATTAATATACTGACAATTACAAGATCATTCACCCCTCGAAAAAGTGGGGAAAAGAGATGCGATATGGGGACTAGCTCGAACCCCGAACCCCGAACCCCGAACCCGTAATATCACCAATACAATTCTGGTAGACAATAATTGTGTAAAGCCACTGGCAAGGCTCTTTCAGCCACTTGCGACATTTCTATTTTCTTTCTTTCTTTCTTTCTTTCTTTCTTTCTTTCTTTCTTTCTTTCTTTCTTTCTTTCTTTCTTTCTTTGTCTATATATTTGTTTATCTCCACGAAGAAGGAGGCAGAGTATTCCTTTGACATAGCATTTTTATGAACGTTCACGCCACATTAAAGTCGGATTACTTACACATGACATTGTAATAAACAATATAATATCTGGAAGTATTCAAATAGTGGAAACGTTGGAATCATTATAATTCTACGTCAATGAGAGGCTTAAATGGTAGACGGGATGGGCGGGGTGTGTGTGCAAAGGGAGACAGACAGACAGACAGACAGACAGACAGACAGACAGACAGACAGACAGACAGACAGAGGGGGTGGGGGGGGGGGGGAGCGAGGGGTGAGGGCTGTACATATTTTATGTAGAAAAAGTGCTGCTAAGCCAGATTTTGGGAGAGTGAGTAATCATCACTACATCTGTTCAAATATAAAATTATCCGAGCAATTGTTTTCGGGAACATCATTATGAAGATCTGCGTGTTTTTTTGAGCAACATTGTTCCGCTTGAAGGCTGGCATGTTGCTTGTGGAAGGAACGGTGGAATGTTTAGGTAGATAGAAAGATAAAATTAGTTTTAATAGGAGTTGGATGGAGACAGTGAGAATTGAATAGAAAGAGGAAAAGAGGTAATCAAGTCAGAGAAAGAGAATGAGGGAGCCAGAAAGATAGAGAGATGGAGAAAGAATTGTTTATCATACTATACTTTAGTGCCTTGATATACTGGTCGTTACGCTATCGATTTTGGTCAAATTGTATTCATTTTTGTGCAAACACCACATATTATGTCGGTCGTTACTTTCTTAAGTTTAGTTATAAACTATTCATTTTTAGTGTAAGTCTAGTTGTAACAACCAACACATATTTGTTTTTACAACCTACGTGTGCATCTTTACAGCACCTTGGTGCTGACTAAACACAACTGTAGCCTTGTTATATCCATAAGTTAAGTTATTTTGAAGAAAGGGACGCTAAAATCAATAAAACTGCGCATTTTACCATTATCAACAGTAAAACTATCTCGTCCACCCCCCAACCACCCCACTCAACACATACCTTTAAGGTAAATTAAAAGCTTGCGTATTATGTCATTGCAATAAAAATGTGGCCCCATTGAAAATGGGGACCTAGGGTATGCAGAGATGGTCAACTAAGTTCTGATGAAGGGATTAATTTTACTTTTACCATTGCTAATTTTAAAGTCATCCTCGTATCTTTATACAAGTCCAGCTTTTCCCCTGCAAAAATTCTTTGTGGGTGGTTGGCGGGTGCTCTGGTATGGTTTGCTCCTTCTTTCCGATCAAACGTCTCTCATCCTTACCTCTCCTCCTTTTTTGTGTTTGATATTCTCTTGTAACAGCTTTTATCATAGGAATTTATTTGAACCAATTATGTTGCCAGTGTCAAAACACATGAAACGCAAAAGTCTATAGCTCACCAAACAGGAGGTATCAAAGCCTGAGATGTAAAAGTAAAAGTAAGACTAATCCCAGCCGCACTCAGAAGACGTCAATTTGATTCCCGTGAGGGCGAATTTTTATCGAGTACAGTCGAACCTGTGTAAGACGGCCACGCATTGTCGAGGGGAAAAGTGGCCGTATAAGACAGGTGGCCGTCTTAGGCAGGACTGATCAAAATGATTAAAAAAACAAAACTATTTACTCCCGATAGGTCCCAACTGGAGGTGGTTGCATGCTTAGGACTGCCCTAGGGCTGATTAAAATGTGTTGTTTTATTTCTTTTGAAAGTGGGAAGAGGATAGGACGGTTTTTGTGAGGTTTTTTGTTGTTAGTTTTATTTCTATTTTTAAATTAAGGTTCCGGGAAAGGTCAAAACAAAACGAAATGTTTCAGACGAGGAAGGCCAAGTGGCGCAGTAAAACAAATGGGTCGCCTCCACTCGACGAACAAGCAACACTTCTGTCGCGAGTCAACGTTGACTTCAGTTGTTTTGGACTAGGTTTACAAATTGAATAGTGTGGGGGCCTTATAGGTTATGACAGATCACACGCTTTCCTTACCAGCAGCTGAAAATTATTTTATTGTTACCCATTGGTCAACTTGGGTAAACATTGGGAGTGACCTAAGCAACATAACCGTTTCATCCATTGGAGAGACTGACAACAACGACAGGTGAATGAATTATGACGGTTTGTCCACAACGTCAGGGGAAAATGCATATTTTTTTTACAAAGTCTGACCGTCTTAGGCAGGAAGATTTGGCCGTGGGTTGATAAAATAGGGTGGCCGCGGTGGCGTTGGACGGGTGCCCGTTTCACACAGTTAAATTATATAGAAAAAAC